TACCCTCCGCTGGTCGTTGCCCCTGCGAGTGCTAAGCCGAACTACTCTCCATTACCGGCCATACAGTCATCCGAACGTCGTACCAGCAAGCACAACGAGCACTATATACATGGCGGAACGAAGAATTGAAAAAGCAAAGCAAAATTCCCAAACTGGGACTCGAACCCGGGTCGCGTGGGTGAAAGCCACGTATCCTAACCGCCTAGACTATTTGGGAGCACCTTCTATTAACCAAAACAAACGCCAAACAAAAGGCCAAACACACGCATACTCACACACAACCAAGCGCACCACATCAAGGCCACGCGCATTGCCGCCTTCAACATTGCATTCAGCACCTTCAAAGACCTTTACCACGCAGGAGCTGTTGTTGTGAACCTGAATTAGATACCGCCGTTCTCGCCACGCTTACCCACCGGCTGGTCGTTGCCCCTACGAGTGCTAAGCCGAACTACTCTCCATTACCGGCCATACAGTCATCCGAACGTCGTACCAGCAAGCACAACGAGCGCTATATACATGGCGGAACGAAGAATTGAAAAAGCAAAGCAAAATTCCCAAACCGGGACTCGAACCCGGGTCGCGTGGGTGAAAGCCACATATCCTGACCGCCTAGACTATTTGGGAGCACCTTCTATTAACCAAAACAGACGCCAAACAAAAGGCCAAACACACGCATACTCACACACAACCAAGCGCACCACATCAAGGCCACGCGCATTGCCGCCTTCAACATTGCATCCAGCACCTTCAAAGACCTTTACCACGCAGGAGCTGTTGTTGTGAACCTGAATTAGGTACCGCCGTTCTCGCCACGCTTACCCTCCGGCTGGTCGTTGCCCCTGCGAGTGCTAAGCCGAACCACTCTCCATCACCGGCCATACAGTCATCCGAACGTCGTACCAGCAAGCACAACGAGCGCTATATACATGGCGGAACGAAGAATTGAAAAAGCAAAGCAAAATTCCCAAACCGGGACTCGAACCCGGGTCGCGTGGGTGAAAGCCACGTATCCTAACCGCCTAGACTATTTGGGAGCACCTTCTATTAACCAAAACAAACGCCAAACAAAAGGCCAAACACACGCATACTCACACACAACCAAGCGCACCACATCAAGGCCACGCGCATTGCCGCCTTCAACATTGCATCCACGCAACCTCTTAAAAGACCTTTACCACGCAGGAGCTGTTGTTGTGAACCTGATATTAGATACCGGCCGTTCTCGCCACGCTTACCCATCCGGCTGGTCGTTGCCCCTGCGAGTGCTAAGGCCGAAACCACTCTCCATCACCGGCCCATACAGTCATCCGAACGTCGTACCAGCAAGCACAACGAGCGCTATATACATGGCGGAACGAAGAATTGAAAAAGCAAAGCAAATTCCCAAACCGGGACTCGAACCCGGGTCGCGTGGGTGAAAGCCACGTATCCTAACCGCCTAGACTATTTGGGAGCAGCTTCTATTAATCAAAACAAACGCCAAACAAAAGGCCAAACACACGCATACTCACACACAACCAAGCGCACCACATCAAGGCCACGCGCATTGCCGCCTTCAACATTGCATCCAGCACCTTCAAAGACCTTTACCACGCAGGAGCTGTTGTTGTGAGCCTGAATTAGATACCGCCGTTCTCGCCACGCTTACCCTCCGGTTGGTCGTTGCCCCTGCGAGTGCTAAGCCGAACTACTCTCCATCACCGGCCATACAGTCATCCGAACGTCGTACCAGCAAGCACAACGAGCGCTGTATACATGGCGGAACGAAGAATTGAAAAAGCAAAGCAAATTTCCCAAACGGGACTCGAAACCGGGTCGCGGTGGTGAAAGCCCACGTAATCCTAACCGCCTAGACTATTTGGGAAGCACCTTTTATTAATCCAAAACAAACGCCGCACAGAAGATCAAACACTTTAAGAGCATGAGTGAGCTTTGCGCCTGTACACTTAAATAGCATAGCATCCGAATATACAGTTTTAGAACATTTTCGGAGCTGTGTGAACCCCGTGAGGGCTGGGTCACTCTCGGACACCCTGTTCATACTACTGACATGACCGGAAGGGCTGGACGGTATCGAACAGACCTGGGAAACCACTCAACAGGGATGAGGCAACAGCTTTGACGTACCCAAGAGGCAATAGCGCGATGCGGCATCTGAATTACCATGTACAGCTGCTTGGTCCACAGCAAGAGTCAGCGGAGCCAGATGTGGGTTGAGTTTGACGCAAGATCATCATACCTCCGAAGCTTACAGGTGGATCCCGCTACATATACCAACGCTTCTTCGATGCCATGGCTATCGTCCGTGAAACAGGAGCCCCGAACCTGTTCATTACGATGACATGCAGCCCGAACTGGCCTGAGATCAAGGAAAACTTACGCCGTGGAGAAAAAGCATCCGACCGACTGGACATCGTGGCTCGCGTGTTCATGGAGAAACTAAAAGCTCTTAACAAGGATCTTGATGAGGGTGTGCTGGGATTCAAGCCGCTCGAGTCCACGTAGTGGAATATCAGAAGCGTGGTCTTCCCCACGCCCACATACTGCTTATCCTGCGTCCGGAGGACAAGCCTACTACCAAAGAAGACGTCGATAAGCTGGTATCCTCGGAGCTCCCGGATAAAGAGAAGTACCCCGAGCTGTACGATACGGTGATTTTTCAATATGCTGCATGGACCCTGTGGTCAACAGAGCCCGATCTGCTCGTGCATGAAGAACGGAAGGTGTTCCAGAAGTTTCCAAGGCGCTCGCGGACGAAACGGTGATGACCCCTCGCCAAATACCCCACGTACAAGCGTGGTCGCCGTCCGGATGAAATTTTGTGCCATAAGGGGAAAGTATGGGACAACGCGACCATCAATCAATGGGTAGTCCCGTACAATCCGTTTCTGTCGCAGAAATACAACTGCCACATAAACGGCGAAGTTTGTGCCACGAACAAGGCCATCGAGTACATCTACAAGTACGTCTACAAGGGCTCGGACATGACGACAATCACGATTGAAGGCGAAGAAATTCGGGCGAACGAAATTCTTCAGTATCTCCTCGGGAGGTATATATCTCCGGTAGAAGCTTGCACTCGCGGCATATTCATGCATCCAACACAAGGATCAACACATTCTGTTGTGATGCTACCTATCCATTTGGAAAGAATGAACATGGTTGCTTATCGCGACCGAGCGCCGGCCCCCCAGCTTCACAACTTGATTGACCGCGGGGAGAGATCAATGCGGGAGAGCGTTTTTCAAGCTGTGCGCGCGTAATCCAGAAGCTACGGCCAATCTACTGTACAAGGATGGGCCGCGGAAGTACATGTGGACCGAACACAGATGTGGAAGCCATATACGAGAGTACGTTGCTTCTCTGGGACGCGTGGTGCACTATCTCCGCAGGACCCGGAACGCTTCTACTTGCGACTTCGCCTGTGTAACCGACGCTCGCCTAAGTCACTTGCGGATCTTCGAACGGTTGATGGTACGGAACATCCTACATATCAGCAAGCAGCTTTGGCGCTTGGATATTTGGAGAATGACGACGAGTGGATACATTGCTTACGCGAAGCCGTCGAAGTCAAGATGCCGTACCAGCTACGCCAACGCTTCGGCAACATCGCAGAGCTCTTACAAAATACTGGTCTGTGAAGTCTACATTTATAGTAAAAAATATCTCTATTTGAGAAGTGTGCAGAGCTCTTACAAAATAAAGTGGTTACTGTGCCCGATTTGCAGTACATACAACAGGTTTTGCGAAGCTAAATGTAATAAATCAATCATCAACGCAGCTCGCCTTGGTTGTTTGCATCCCAATCAATGTGTTTCGTTCACGGCAGAAATGTTTACCTTACGTCCAATCGCGAGGGCGAGAGGCGGTCTGATCGTGCGACAGATCCAGTCAGTGTCGAAGGTCGACGGGTATTGCCCAATCATGGCGCGAGTTAATTGTGTCCACGTTTTGGCTATTTGTGTAGTTTTGGCATATCTAGGTCGAGTCAGAAAGATAGGCGCAAGAAGGGACTAAAATGTATTAGACAGACCAAAGTGTAGTCATGCGAAAACGCAGGAAAAAGCAGCAAGAAAGGAAACGGACGGACTTATTGACAGACGGACGGACAGGCTGCAAGGGTAGAAGCGGTGCGATGGCGGATGCTGAGCGGTATGTATGAACAGACAAGACGAACTTTCATTCTTGCTTTATTTGGGGGCGGGGACTTATACTCGTCTCCCTCCAGCAGCTACGCGGAGCAACCGCGCGCCCAATGAAGCTGTCGCTCCGACAGGCGCAGTCACACCGGCGTCAATGACTCCTCTGCTCTCCAGCATTGATCCCATTACCGCTGCTCTGGAAGCTGCAGTGGCACATTCTCCACTGCCGACCGGTACAGTGCGTGTGTGCCACGCAACGGAAGACGAGTGGAACGCGTTTGCAGACAGCGAGGATCCAATCGCTCGACGCAACTATCTTGAATGGTTTCCTGACATGGAAGAGATTCACATCATCGAGTTTGCCGACGCTCCACACGAAAATTTACACTGCAGAGCTAAACGAATTTCGTGAGCGGCATGTCATACTGCTCTGTACTGCGTCCCATTTTGAATCAACAAGTCTGCACAATTCATGTCATTCACCTTCTCGATATTTCTCTCGAGCTTCTTGCAAAATGTCTTGCGTCCCTGCTTGCCGAAGTGACAGTCAGCCCAATCCATCTTTCCGCGTTTCTTC